ATGTGTGTTTGACATCAAGGAAGTATACATCTGATTATCAGTGAGAAAGTTAAAACGATGTCAGGGGCATTCTGCCTAAAAGACTCTTCTTAGCAGGGGCAAGTTGTTTTTCCCAGTATGATGCTTTTTTAGTTGATCATCCTTAAAAGTCAAGGCTTGAATATTTCGTCAAACCAAGAAGGTGTCAGGTTTCAGCCAATCTTGGGCAATTACACTGAGATTCGACATATCTCTCCATGAATCAGTCGACTAAGTAGACTATCTCGTGACAATTCCCTCGAAGATCATGTTGTCTGGGGCACAAATTATGCGTCAAAGTTATTGAATCCAGGGGCAATCCAGATTTAACAGGATTTGTTGCTATGACTTTTCTCAAGCACGAGGTTTCTTGGACTCTCTTTTCCTAGTAAAGACACCAGAAGGTTCAAATGTTGGTTCCCAACAATATTATTTTTGACCTCTCTATGTTGTGGAATTTAGATTGAGAGTGTCCATTTATTTTGCATGTGAAGACTTTATCTCCTCAGTAGGAATATGTTGGTATTTCCCTATGAAAGTTCACTCAGATCATTCTTGTTAATATGTGCATGACCTTCTGGTGTTTCATAATTAGTTGGAGATGATACCAATTGATATAAGGTGCGGTATTGTTTTTGTGATATCGTTGTCCCCAGTCAAGTATTGGTTCATTTTTTATTTTGGGTTTGCATGGTCTGCGGCCTCTCTCCCAGATTCCCCAGCGAAGTCTTCCCTCATATGACGAAAGGTCTTGTTCCCTTGGTGTGCTGAGATGGAACTATTTTCAAAGTGTCTCTCTTTCTGCAGTGTTGGCATTATTGTTGGTATTTATTTCCCAGGAAACTAGACCAGGGCAATATATTTCCTAAGAAGTGTTGAGACAGTTATCAACCCTTTGGGTTTTCACCCACCAAGTGTTTGGTTTGATTTAAAATCCCCATGAGTTTGACCTCTTTCTATATGTTTACTTATTGATTCCCTAGGAAGGCTATCCCAGGGCATCTTTTGTTGGAATAAGTTTGCATGATATGAAGACTCAATCCAAGATTCCCCAGTGAAGGCTTCGCTTATTTGATATAAGTCTTTTCTCCCCGTGCATGCTGAGTTGGACTCATTTGCAAAGTATCTCCCTTTCGGAAGTACTTGTATTTTGTTTGATTGCCCGATAATCAGGCAAGGGCAATGTTTTATTTAAGAAGTGTTGAGACAGTTGTCAACTTTTTGGGTTTTCATCCGCCAATTGCTGGATTTGATTTAAAATCCCCATAAGATTGATTTCTTGCTGTAATGTTTGACTTCTTAACTCCGTAAGTTGTTATCCCCATAAGGTTTCATACTTTCTCCCCATAGAAGTTGGTGCAATAATTTCTCTCGAAGAAGAACGTATCTCTGGTTTCCCCAGTGAAGAACGTATCTTGGTTTCCCCTCGAGGATGTGGTGTTGACCTCCCCAATGAAGTCAACACGAAATCCCCAGTTGATGTCTCGATAACGAAGCATTATGTGCCTTAGTGAAGTTTAGTTGTGTTGTCTTCTCTCCAATAGAGTGTCAGTCATAAGCATAAAGTGTATATTCTTTCAATTTCCCCACTGAGTAATCCCTCGTGGAAGATTTTTGCTTTAGCCTTCCAACCCAACGCTTTGTCTGGATGATTTGGGTTTCCCTCTTGAATTTATTTCTCATGGAATGTATTTTGGTAGGTCGTTTTACTCCAGTTTATTTCTGGATTGAATCTTTGTTTCCCAGCAATATTATTACTTTGGATGTCTGAAAGCTTCGAGTTTTGGTTTGAGAATGTGCATTTATTTTGCACGAGAAGACTTTATCTCCTCAGCAGGAATATGTTGACATTTCCCCAGGAAGTCATGACATTCTCCCCAGGAAGTCATTTTAGAATTCTGCATAACAGCAAGCAGCATGTCTCTTTATTTGAGCAACTTGTATTTCCCCGTAAAAGTCGACGTTACTTTTTTTTCTATCTTCCTTATGAGTGGATAGTTTGCAGTTTGTTGTCAAATTACTCTAGTGGATGTCTAGTCTCTTCAATATCACAGAGACAATTCATTGTGAAATCTTTACAAGTGGTAGTCTCTTTATTTGAGACAGCTTATATATTACCCTTTCCAGGCGGAATGTCTTGGTTAAAGAAGAAGTTGAAACCCTTTCTATGTGAAATTCCAGAATTTCAGGGAAAACTTATTATCTTTTTGCTACCCTCAGTGAACATTGGTAGTTCACCATCAGTAAACGTCGGTGCTATGATATTTTCTCTCTACCTTCAGTGAAAGTTGGTAGGTTACCATAAGTGAAAGTTGGTGATTGTCATCTTTTTGCTACCCTCAGTGAATGTTGGTAGTTCATCATCAGTGAACGGCGGTGCTATGATATATTTTATCTCTACCTTCAGTGAAAGTTGGTAGGTCACCATCAGTGAAAGCTGGTGATTATTATCTTTTTGCTACCCTCGGTGAATGTTGGTAGTTCATCGTCAGTGAACGGCGGTGCTATGATATATTTTCTCTCTACCTTTAGTGAAAGTTGGTAGGTCACCATCAATGAAAGTTGATGATTGTTATCTTTTTGCTACCCTCAGTGAATGTTGGTAGTTTATCGTCAGTGAACGGTGGTGCTATGATATATTTTCTCTCTACCTTCAGTGAAAGTTGGTAGGTCACCATCAATGAAAGTTGGTGATTGTTATCTTTTTGCTACCCTCGGTGAACGTTGGTAGTTCCTCGTCAGTGAACCGCAGTGCTATGATATATTTTCTCTCTACCTTCAGTGAAAGTTGGTAGTTCACCATCAATGAAAGTTGGTGATTGTTATCTTTTTGCTACCTTCAGTGAACGTTGGTAGTTCATCATCAGTGAACGGCGATGCTATGATATATTTTCTATCTAACTTCAGTGAAAGTTGGTATTTCACCATCAGTGAAAGTTGGTGATTATTATCTTTTTGCTACCTTCAATGAACGTTGGTAGTTCATCGTCAGTGAACGGCGATGCTATGATATATTTTCTCTATACCTTCAGTGAAAGTTGGTAGTTCACCATCAGTTAAAGTTGGTGATTGTTATCTTTTTGCTACCTTCAGTGAACTTTGGTAGTTCACCATCAGTAAACGTCAGTGCTTTGATATTTTCTCTCTACCTTCAGTGAAAGTTGGTAGTTCACCATCAGTGGAAGTTGGTGATTGTTATCTTTTTGCTACCTTCAGTGAATGTTGGTAGTTCACCGTCAGTGAATTTTGGTGCTATGATATTTCTTTTCTCTATCTTCAGTGAAAGTTAGTAGTTCATCATTAGTGAACATCAATATTTGTCTCTCTATCTTCAGTAAACGCCGGTAGCCCACCGTCAGTGAACGTCAGTGTTGTTATTCTTTTCTCTTTCTACCTTCAGTGAACGTCGGTGTTGTTATACTTATCTTTCTACCTTCAGTGAATGTTGGTAGTTTCACCTTCGGTGAAAGTTGGTGTATCCTTTGACCTTTTACCGTCATCTGTGAGTCGTCATCTTTTTGATCTTCTACCTTCGACTATTGAGTTGGTAGTTAACAGTTATCTGTCGATCGTTGTTATCCACTGCTTTTTCCTCATTTAATGAGTTTGTGATACTTTGTCTCCTCTCGGGCTTTACCCTAGTAGAGTTGAGTCTTCTATTCCCCATTGAAGTTGATTTTCCTCCAATGGAGTCAAGTTTCTTTCTTCAGTAGGGAAGGTAACTCTTTCTGGAAGATTACTTTCTTATAGGCTTGTTGCTCTCTTTGTTAAGTGTTTCCTCATTGAAACCTAATTTGGCCTTCAATTGTGGTTTCGGCTTTCCCCATACAAAGTCATCCCCAGAGTTATGTCATTCCCATTGATTTATTTTTCTGATGAACTCTCTTTGGCATCTTTCTCCAGCAGGTTTCAAGTCGTAGTTTCATCTACGTTATTATCTCCAATAATGTTCTGTGTTTCCCACAGAATCCTTTGTGTCTGCATTCATAACCATAAGCATTTAATGACACCTTAGGGTTAAAAAATGGGGTCTCCTAATATTTAAGTATCTTCAATCACGTCGAGATGAAGGTGTCTACCTTCATATCTCCGGATAGAAGACACTTAAATAGGGGCAGCTGTCATACCCCATTTTATCCCCTAATCTGTTCATTCATAACATCATATGCATTTACATCATAAATGTTTCATTCATTTCAGCCTTTAAGGCATGGGATCAAATGGCTCTTGGCATTAGGGTTTCCCCCTATAAATTGAGGTTACTACCTCTTTCAAGGTGTGTCCACTGTTTCATTTATCACTCTGGGTATAAAACCATGGTTTTTGATTTACGAGTATCATGGGTATTTTCCTTGGCAATATTCCTCAAGATACAAAGTTTTCTTCATCCGAATTTTCATTGAAGAAAAAAAATGAATTAGGGTTTATCCTATCTTGCTTGAGCATTGATAATGATTCTTCAACAAAGTTCATCATGCTATGGTTTACATCTTATCATGCTTGAGTTTGTCGGCATTTCGATTGAAAGTCATTGGACCTCATACTTTAAGTCCTATCATTCATCTTTAAGTCGTCCCTCAATGCATTAATCTTGTTTCAAGATTAATAGTTATCAAGCTAGGACGGTTTTGTGGATTAAATTGTGAAACATGAATCATGGCATGGAAGATGTGATTGAGATTTCTTTGTAAGCAGAGTTTGGTTGCCTATTCAATTATTCGGTTGCTTACAAATTATTTTGGATTTGAATTGAAGACTAAAAGTTGAGTTTGTAAAGTTCATGTTTATGGCTTACTTGAAATGCAATTTACAAGTGATAAGTTCAAGTTGAAATCCAAGTTCAAATTTATTCCAGTGCATCATTTGGAATTCAAAAAAAACTTAAAGTATTCATCATTTCCTGCAAATGTATTGCCAAGATCAAAGTTGTAAAGTTAGAAAACTGATGAATTTTGTTTGCTTGGAATTTAGAAGTTTACATCATGATTCAAGAGAAGATTACAAGCATGCCATATTTCAAAGTTCATGGTTCATCATCATTCATCCATGGTTCATCTCAATACAAGTTCATTCAATCCAAAGCTTCGTGCAAGCATAATTCAAGTCAAAATTCAAAGTTAATTCAAATTCAAATTTACATCATAATACATAAAAAATTCACAAAGAAAATATACAAGACATTTTTTTTATCTAAAGTTCCCAAGGCTTATCTTCCTCTCACCAAATGACACCAAAGTTTCTACCTTGACATCAAATTGTGGTTTGAAATCTGCAAAAAGAAAAACAGGACCTTATTATACCAAACAGAACCCGCCCTGTAAACATCAACAAGACCAGTTCCAAAACGAGTAACTGGCATCGATTCAAAAGCTCGAAGAAATCCACCCTGCACCATTGAATTTCAATTACAAAAAAAAACACTAAACCAGAAGATACCAAGCAGAAGAGATAAATCAGAAAACAAAATAGAGCCAAGACCAATGAGAATCTTGAGAAGTAATTTCCTGCTTGGCAAATAATTCAAAGAAAACTCAGAAAATCAGCATAACTACAATTCCAGCTAGGAGCTCCAAATCATGTTTAAACTTGTTACGAACTTAGTCCAAAATCTTTTTAAGATAATAACATGTGAAACTGTATCCAAAACTGGTTCATAAACCGCAACCTGCAATGTAAAAAAGGACTTGCCCAAATTAAAAACAGAACAGAAAATACTGAAAGTAGAAAGTGCAGAGGAAAATAAGTCAGGAATTAAAAATATAGAAAGGGAATTTCAGAGAAAGCTTCATATCAGATGTTACAGCTCAGCATATTTTAAACTTCTCTAACAAGCTTCATAACAGAATTTGAGATGAGAAATGAGATTCAATCCCAATCATTCATTTGTTATAATAGATTTTTAAAATTAAGGGATGAGATGTTTCTACCTGTAGCAAACTTCTCAGACAAGCCAGGCCAGCAGATATATAACATATTTCATCTTCAGATTCAAGAAGAAAAGAAGAGGAGGAGGACGATCTTCACTTCTGCAGACGAACTTCTCAGAGAAGTTTCAGAGTTCTCTCTGAAATTTAGAGGCTTCAATGATTCACTTCTCCAAACATCGGTGCCAAAAAACTTCAAATTCTCTTTGAATTTTATCTGCACTTTCCTTCACGTCTTCATAATCACCTCTCCATCTCTCTGCAACTGTTCCAACAATATTCATCTTCAATCTTCTCTCGTCTCTATCCCTGTTCATATTTTCTGCAATAACAACAAGGCTGCCTCATCAACACAAAACGCGGAGAAATATAGAAAACTTTGAATAGAGTAAATAGAAGAAGAGTAAAGCGAAGAAGTGAAAAAGGGGAAGAAATAGTTTCACAGAGGATGAAACGCATACCTGGATCATTGATTTTCTGTCTCACTATCGAAGACGCGCCGGACCGGTCTCTGGCAGGTATACCCCGATGATTCTTTCTTATTCTTCATGCGCGATATTTTGGTTATGCTTGCTCTGAAATATAACTCGAAAATGGAACAACAAACACACAGAGGTGATGATCGGAGTAGCGCAATGAAGCGGAGTTGAACGTGAAATCACAAGCAAGTAGAGAGGCAATGTGAAGCTTCGAAACTTGAAGCTGACGGCAGCGCTGCGAGGAGGAGGAGTTTAGGCTAAGGTTGAGATCAGTGTTGAGCGACTTTGTGAAGCTTTGAGAAGGTGAAGCAGCGTTTAGTTGATGATGTCAACTGAGGAGTTCGAATGGATGAGAAGCTTGATGGAGACGTGATATCGGTGATTCGTCGGAGATGAGCATCGAAAGAAGAAGAACTGCGGCGCTTTGAGGATGAATAGGAGAAGGTGATAACTGAAACAGGGCGGCAGAAAGAGGCGAGACGAGTTTGAGACGAAAGAATGGGTGATGCATCGGAAGAAGTCGAAGCGGGAACGTCGCCTAAAAATTGATTTCTGCGGCGCTGTTGCGAAGAAGATGATGGAGCTGAGCTTGTAGAAGATGATTAGCCATAATCCTTTAAACCCTAGCGTTCTTCTCTTAAAACGACATCGTTTTTTAATTTAATTTGTTATTTTATTTTTTTTCTTTTATTTAGGAAATTGAAAACAAAAATCTGAATTGGACTGAATTAATTGGGCCTCGTTTTTAAACCTCCCTTAAGCCCATACTGCCATCAATTTTTGGAGCTTGTTACCAAAAAAACATGTGCTGGAACATTCAGCATGGGCCTAGCGTCCCATTTATTTACAACACACCTGAGTCAAGCTTTATACTTCCCTTTATTTCTTTTATTTCTTATTCTTTTATGGTTTTAGTTCTATTTTCTTTTATTGTTTTTAGATATTAAGATAATAAAAAAATAATAAAAATAATAAAAAGAGATATAAAAAAATACTTTAGGGTTTTATAAGTATTTTAGGATTTTATTAGATTTTATTCCTATTATTTCTTCATACTTTTAATTTCTTTTAAATCAAATTTACACATCATGTTTTATGTGTGTGTAATATTGATCAAATAAGATGCTTGAGAATTAAGGATTATCTTGCGTTGAAATGCCATACTTCTTTAGGATTCTATGAGACGATTAATCTCCCTTTTGATTGTTTTATGTTGATTATACCTTAGGATTTCAATACAAGCATGATAACATCAGGATAGTCCCTTCATCTTCTTTAAAAGTCTTCTCCCTCATTTTGAAAACTCTTCTTGTTTCTAACTTTAACTGTTTTCACAATAAACTTGGATTTAGGTCCATGCCTTTTCAAAAAATATATTTTCTTAATCAAACTTTAAACAACTTAACAATATTTTGACCTTTTTGTGAGAAGACTAAAAATCAATCAATCTCAATCAAACTATTCTGCCACTTTGGCTCTTACTCTAAAACCTTTCTCAAAATATTAGACTCTTGTCAATCCTTGTAGTGATGCAAACAACTATACTTTTACAATATGTAGTGAAGTGAGATATTTTCCACTTGGGTGTTGAGTGAGCCATTGTTGATTTTAAAATCCAAGCCATATCCTCCACTTTGAGAGGATGCAAATTCTCCTTTCGCATGATTGTGGGTAGTAAGTATGTTTTCCACACGGACAATGATGATGATGTCTCATCTCATAAAATTAACCAACACACTTGTGTTTTAAAACTTTTAAAAGAGAAACTACAAGTGTTCTGATTCCTCCTGGAATACGTAGGCACTGGATTGAAGATCTGGGCGAACGCAACAATAATTAAAAAAAACTTTCTTTTTTCCCAAATTGATTCATTCATGCAAATAGCTCTTTTTAATAGCCAACATACACATATTTTTACAAAGAGGTTCCTGCGGAGTACCGTAGATGTTTAGGGTGCTAATACCTTCCCTTTGCATAACCAACCCCCTTACCTTGAATCTTTCCCCCTCTTTTTGAGTTATTCGCTCTTTTCTCATTCCTTTGGAAACAATAAAGCGTGGTGACGATTTTTATTTTGATCTGTATAAGTCTAGTCAATCTAATGGCTTGGTCTGAAACATTTCTACCGCTATAGATCCAACGTACCATACACGCACCCCATGATGCACTCTCAAAAGGCCACTAACACTAAATCTTTAACAGGTGTTGGACTCCCTGACTTGGGCCTCTTTCTTTTTGTTTTTTCTATTTCTTCACACCCCCCCCCCCCCCCCAAATTTCTCATAACAACCAGGCATATTTCTTTCTTTTTCTGATTCAAATAAAAAACATATGTTTGGGCCTAACAATTTTGCTATTTTATCACACCCTGATTACTTTTTAGCACCTAGGCCCAATATTTTTCATATTCTTTACATTTTCATTATTTTTTTCATTTATTTATTTTTATTTAACCAAAAATACAAAAAAAAAATATTTTCTTAAATTATTAGATTTAAAATATTAACTCAATCATTTTTTTTAATTTTATTTTTGCTTCATTTTTCCTAACAAATAAAAATCTCAAAAATATTTTCTAATGTTTAGTTCCCCTTTTACTATTAAAAATTAATAGACTTAGGTTTTATTTTAATTAACTTGGTTTTTTTTAGGTTTTATTCAAAATATTAGTTAATTTCTCTTTGCCAAATTAATTAGTGTGATTAGCTTAATTATCAAACCTTTTCCATCCAAAACCACCAAAAACAATTTCTTTCCTCTACTTTATATTTATGCGCATTTTATTATCTCGCACTATTATTTATGTAAATTGTATGTAATAGATAATTAGGTCTTTATTACTTTTCTCCCCTCATTCACAAACTTGTACCCCCCCCCCCCCCCCCCCCAATTTCCAAAGTGTTGTAATAGCGTAGGATATTTAAATTATATTATTTATCGCTTTTTTTATTATTGTTAGTAATTAGGGTTTGTATGAGAAGATTAAAATCAAACTTAGACAACCCTAATTCAATATAAGATAAATGAATCAAACACATTTTGCGCACATGCACCTCTAGGGTTAACCTCACTTGTTGCCTCGGATTAAAATAGTCAGGTCCCTCGAACGTGGGATATTTTAGCAAAGACCCTCGATTAAAAGATCGTAGTCCCTCGACGACCCTTCGATGTTGCCTTTGATAAACGATCTTAGTCCCTTACAACAATTGCTAAAACACCTTACAAGTTGCCTTCTATGACTGTACGATGACCCACGCTTGTCCCTGACATCCAATGATATGGCTCCCTACCAACCAATGGTAAAGTAGCACTATCTAAAGGAGGAGGAAAAGAACAAAGACTTTTAAGTAGGTAGATTGCTCGTAATTGCTTTCTCACAAAATAAAACAATTTCCATTCTTCACACTTTCAAAACAAACTATTTTCAAAACATTTTCAAAACAAACATTTTGTATACATTCTCAACGATATGAGAATCATTACAAAATTTCCTCACATTGGTATTTTCAAAACATCTTTCCAAAACAACACTTCATTTCACAAGTATTTTCAAAACAAACATTTTGTATACATTCTCAACGATGCGAGAATCATTTCCAAATGGCCATACTTAGGCATTTTCAAAATATTTTCAAACATACACAAATATAAAGCATTTTCAAAGTGAGCTAGCAATTAAGAGCCCGTAGATAACTATGGATGAAAAGGGTGCTAACACCTCCCCTTTCAATAAACTACCCCCCGAATTCAAGAAAAAATCTCAAAGGTCTTTCCTGTTATTTTTACCCTTTCCTTTATTGGATAAAAGAAAAGTCGGCGACGACTCTTGCTATCCGCAACACTTGTAATCAAACGCAAAACACCAAGTCAGTTCTCCCAAAATATTACAATCATCCTTAACATGGCTGCACACCGTCATTTCCAGAGATTATAGTCTTGCCCTGATCTTCTCCTGCCACAGCCGATTTCTATTTGGCATTCTTCTTCAGAAGTTACAGTCTTGCCCTGATCTTCTCTGGCAACGTCAAATCTTCATTGGCACCTCTTTTCATAGATTACAGTTTTGATATGATCTTCTCCAGCAGAGTTTTCAATTTATTTTTGCAACTCTCCTCAGTGTTTTTAACTTGTTTCTATCGGCTACTCAGTTTGTTACTCCCCATAGAGTTCCATCTCTTCAAGGCTTTCTCTCCAGAAATTCCTTATATCTTCTCTTTTCCATTGGATTTTGCAATTTATTTTTGCAAGACCAGTCAGGTTCTGACTCTCTGGTTGTTGGCTTCTCGGTTGGCCATTCCCCAGTGAAACATTTAAACATGCATCATTACATTTCCTCTACCAAGACGCGTATCATTTCCATTATATGGAGCATTACGCTATAAAAATAATTCAAACATGCATTGAAACATAAACCATTACTATTTCTGTTTTCCCCAGTAAATTTGCTAAGACTTCAGATTATATCCCTAGAGAGGTCTTCATCCTTAGTATCTCAGTTTCACCCCATACAAATATTCTATTGATGTTAATCATTTGAATGGTTGGGTGTCTACTCTTGATTGTAGTTCAGTTTTTCCCTAACACAGTTTTCTTGGGTTTAGTCTCTACTACCCTATTTGGTTCATTCTAATGTCCATTAATGTACCTTTTGAATACCAGTTTTGTCCTGATATTCATTTTCAACAAGTTTTTAGTAGTACGCCCAAATCACCTTGCTTTGGGCCGAGTTTTGAGTTTTGTCTCCTCACTCGCGCATGAAATCCAATTTTTGTTCTAGTACTCATCTAGTTTAGTTTTTTATAACTTGTTGTAATGAGTCGAGTGTTATCTCATTTTGTTTTCGTACCTTGGACTTCCATCAGTGTTTCATTACTGAATCCTTTATCGGTTTTCGTTTACCGAGTCTTTTTGCAGTGTTTGTTTAACTGCGTCCTTGGTTGAAAACAGACTCCTTTTTTTCCTTGGATTCTTCTATCAGTTTTCGTTTACAGTTTTCTCTGAGAAACATGCGCTCTCATCACTTTGCTTTGGGTCAAGTCTTGATCTCATCTCCTGTGCATGAAATCTAGTTTGTTTTGCCCTGGTACTCATCTAGTTTGTCTTGCCTAACTAGTCATTATAAGTCGAGTGTCGTCTCGTTTTGTTTCTTTCCCTGGACTCTTCTATCAGTTTTCGTTTACCATGTCCTTAATCTAAACCCCTATCCCACTCTTTGGACGTCTATTAGTTTTTGATTATTTAACCTTTGGCAGTGTTTGTTTACTGTATTACGGCTTTTATTTATTGTGTCCATCGAGTTGAGATGTATCTTTTATACCTATTCAGCCTTTAGTCAGTTTTCATTTACTATTTACCCGTGGTTGAAGGCCAACGGGTGCTCTGAGAAACATGCATTCTCATAACTTTGCTATGGGTCGAATTTTGCAACGTTACCCGTGCGAGAAATCCAGTTTGTTTTGTCCTGGTACTCGTCTCTAGAAAGTTTTGATCTTCTAGTATTGTCGAGTCGAGTTTTATCTCATTTAATGTCACTCCTTGTATATTTATCAGTTTTTGTTTACTGAGCCTTTAACAGTGTTTGGTTATTGTACTTCAACTTTCATTTGTTGTATCCTTGGTTGACCAGTCTCTTTTTTAGACTAGCAGGTGCTCCTAGAATCACGTGCTCTAGCCACTTTGCCCCGCGTACTTTTCCAGAGTTTAGCTTCGCCTATTCTCTGTGGTTTGAATTTTATCTCACCTCCTTTGTGGTCCGATTTTATCCTGACAATTTATTATGAAGTTTAGTTTCCTCTACTCTTCTAAGTTCGAGTTTTGTCTCAAACTTTGTTAAAAGCTGCATTACAGCTTCATTCTGACGCATGTCTTTGGAGGGCCAATTTTCTTTAGACCCTCTTCTTGCTAAATCCAATTTCGTTTGGTACCTTCTAAGTCCCACGTATGTTGACATTCTTTGTCTTTGGGGGGTTTTGCTTCTTTTTTTTCAAGAGTGTAAATTTCTGGGTTCTTTCGTATTCAATCACCTTCAACTCTGAATGCTTGAAAGCTGTCGCTTTTCTCACTTATCATGTTTAAGATTATTTAATTGGGGCACATGTTGCACCCCAAAATTTACCCTCTTGATTTCAAAATATTTATGGCTTATGTTTCATCATATGCATATCATACATATTCATGCATTTGAAATGGGATCAAGGCAGTTCCAAAAGGTATCGACTGCTTATTAAAGACAGTCAAAGATTTGTACAGATAATCCATGAAGTGAATGAATGATTTCTTACCATTCCTAATTCACGTGTATTCTATCATTTCTTGAGTGGTAGAAGGAAGCCAGAGGTTCTGTTTAGTTCAGAACACTTCAAGTTGAAAGTCTGTTTCGGCACAACAAACTTCAGAACTTTATAACTCCAGGCCAGAGTATTATTTTGAGCTGGCATTTGATCACAGGGTCCGTATGGATATTATCTACACTTTTTCGTGTTCAGGTGGGAGCCTATTATATGCAGAAGACGGTAAAATAATTTTGTTACCAAGTTTTTGGGTTACCGATCAACGATATTTCTGGCGTTCAGAAATTTATAATTCTGATTTGATGTACTATCTTGAGGTGGTTCTTTCTCCATTGAATTCTTCTCAATGTCCTCTCCAACTTTCATGTTCGACCAAAGGTTAATTCTCGAAGAAAGGTCTCTGAATACGCGAATTTGTCAGTTATACAGTGGAAAAATACAATAAAAGATATGTTGAAAGTGCAGTTTTGGCGCACTAAAAAATTCATAACTCGAAGCCCATGGCTCGTTTTGGTCCTGTTCTGGTGGCCAAAATTCCGCCTCGATGTCAGCTACATTTTCATCTCTCATGGTCGGAGGCCAATTTGCTCCGAAAGTCTCTAAAAATATGGATTTATCAAGTATTATCATACAGGAAAATTGTGACAAATTTTTATCTGCACCAACTTCAAAAAATCATAACTCGGTCGATTTTTATCGTATCAAGCGGGTTATGGTGGAATTTATCATAAATTGAGTTATTTAAATTTGGTTCTCTCATTCTCAAAAGCAAACGGTATCCCAAAGGCTTTCGTTTTTGGCTCAGAGCGTGTGCAGCTCACTGAAAATCCAGAAGATGGAAATTAAGTTGTCTGAGACAAAACTTCAAAAT